CAGAACATCTGCCAACTGCTTCTGAGTGCTGCAGTGTACAACTTCTAACACTCCACTCTGAACTTGATGTCTCAGAAAATGATACTTGGTCTCAATATGCTTGCTTCTCCCATGCAACACTGGGTTTCTGGCAAGATTGATTGCAGACTTGTTGTCAATCATCAACTTCAGAGGTTTGTCTACTTTAATCTTCAGATCCTGCAACAGATTCAGAATCCACACAGCTTGGCATGCAGTAACAGCACCTGCAATGTATTCAGCTTCACATGTTGACAATGCCACAACAGGTTGCTTCTTGGAACACCAAGAAATGGAACCTCCCAGAAATTTGAACAAGTACCCAGATGTACTTCTTCTGTCAACTCTGTCTCCACACCAATCAGAGTCTGAATAACTCAGAAGTTCTGACTCATTATTTCCTCCAGAGGGAAATAACACTCCATACTTCAGAGTTTCTTTGATATACCTCAGAATCCTGACAGCAGCTTGGTAATGGGACCACTTAGGTTTACTCATGAACCTACTAACCATCCCAACTGAGTAGCAGATATCAGGTCTGGTATTGCACAGATACCTCAGAGAACCAACCAACTATTTGAAGGTTGTAGCGTCCACATCCTTTCCTTCAGAGTCTGAATCCAGTTTCTGATTTGTATCAGAAGGTGTGACAACCATCTTACAATTCTTCAGATCAAATCTCTTCAGAAGTTCTAATTCATACTTGAGCTGATGCAAAATGATACCTTTCTCAGAATATCTGAACTCCATCCCTAGAAAGTATGTCATTTTGCCTAGATCAGTCATTTCAAATTCATTCATTAGAACCTTCTTGAACTTGGCTACCTCCTGTTCAGAACTTCCAGTCAGCAGTATATCATCAACATATAAACATACCCGAGTCATATTGCCTTCAGAAGTATGCTGAACATAGACACCGTACTCCATCTCACATTTTTGAAAGCCTTGCTTCTTAAAAAATGAATCAATCTTCTGATTCCAAGCTCTGGGCGCTTGTTTCAATCCATATAGAGCTTTGTATAATCTGTACACCATCCCTTCCTGATTCTTTTTCACAAATCCAGGAGGTTGTGACATGTAAACTTCTTCTTCTAATGGACCGTTCAGAAATGCAGATTTTACATCTAAATGCATCAGAGGCCAATTCCTGTTAGCAGCTATTGCAATCACCATTCTGATTGTTTCATGTCTTGCTACAGGTGCAAACACTTCAGAGTAATCCAGCCCAGGTTTTTGTAGAAATCCTCTGGCTACCAACCTTGCTTTATGTTTGCCAATTGAGCCATCTGGCTTTAACTTCTGCTTGAAAACCCATCTGACGCTGATGGCTTTTTTGTCTTTTGGAAGTTCTGTCAGCTTCCAAGTCTTGTTTCTCTCTATAGCATCAAGTTCTTCTTTCATGGCCTTCAGCCAGAGCTTCTGCTTAAGAGCCTCTTCTGTACTTATGGGTTCAGAGTCTACCATCATGGCACACTGAATAACTTCTCCTTCAGAGTCTACTTCAGTGTCTTGCAGCATGTCAAATTCTGCATATCTTCTGGGGATGTTTCTGATTCTTTGTGGTCTCTGAACTTGTTCAGAGTCTTGAGCTTCAGAGTTTCCAGCTTCAGATGGTTGACTTCCTCTAGAGCTTTGACCATCTTCAAGATCTGGCATATTTTCAGAGTCTTGGCCATCTTCAGAGTCTGAATTTCTACCAGAATCTGGCTTACCATCAAAGTCTGGATCATCAGAGTCACCTTCATCTTCTGAGTCTTCTCCAGAGTCAGAATCACTATCAGAGTCAGAATCAACGTCAGAGTTTACTTCAACTTTAGAAATTCTTAACTCTGACCTTTCTTCAGAAGTTCTAACATCAGAATCAGATTGAGACTTATCCCAATTCCAAACTTCTGATTCCTTCACAATCACATCTCTGCTGAATTCAATTTTATTAGTTTCTGGACAATAGAGCTTGTATGCACCTGTACTGTGGTACCCTATCAGAATCATCACTTTGCTTCTATCATCCAGCTTCTGTCTTCTGGCTTCTAGAACATGTTTATAGCAAACAGAGCCAAACACCTTCAGATGACTAACACTTTGCTTGTCTCCAGTCCACTTCTGCATAGGAACTATTTCCTTCAACTTCTTCGTAGGACATCTGTTGAGTACATACGTTGCAGTTGCAACAGCTTCTCCTTAGAGCTTCTGAGGAAGCTTCTTCTCCTTTAGCATGCTTCTCACCAGATCAAGCAAAGTACGGTTTCTTCTTTCAGCAAGACCATTGTGTTGAGGGGTATAAGGAGCAGCAACCTCATGCTCAATTCCATTCTCCTCACAGAACTTCTGGAACTCTTTGGAGTTATACTCACCTCCACCGTCAGTTCTAAGAATCTTCAACTTCTGACCACTCTGATTCTCTGCCTTCATTCTGAATTTCTTGAATTCATCAAACACCTCGTGTTTGAACTTAATAAGGGATACCCATGTCATTCTTGTGAATTCATCAACAAATAACACAAAGTATTTATTCCCTCTAATTGTTGCTACTGGAAATGGACCACACACATCAGAATGTACAACTCCCAAGGCATGTTTTGCTCTTGGAGCAACTTCTGACGCAAATGGCAAACGTGGTTGTTTTCCTTCCATGCAAACTTTGCATGACTTCTCAGGCTTCTTAATTGCAGGAATTCCATGTATCAACTTCTTTGAATTCAGATGTTTTAGGCTTCTGAAATTCAAATGACCAAATCTTTTGTGCCACAGCTCACTCTCCTTCTCAGCACATGTTGCACTAAGACATTCTGAGTCTGCAGTTCTGACATTCACCTTGAATGTTCTATTCCTTCCCTGTTCTGACTCCATAATCAACTTCTGATTGCATTCATACAGCTTCAGAAGATTGTCCTTCATGGTAACTGAAAAACCTTTCTCAATTAATTGTCCCACACTCATCAGATTGCTTCTGATGCCAGGTACATACCACACGTTCTGAATCAATGCTGTTTTCCCATTGTTCAGAATCACTCTGACATTTCCCATACCTTCTGCATTAAGATATTTGTCATCAGCACATCTGATCTTTGTTCTCTTTTCAGAGTCAAAGTCAACCAGCCATTTCTTGTTTCCAGTAAGATGATTTGAACAACCAGTGTCCATATACCACCAGTCTATCAGATCCATATTATCAGATTCATAAGCCATCAATAGCACAGATTCGTCATCAGAACTTCTGGCTATATTTGCTTCTTCTGATTTTCTCTCCTTGTTTGACAAACAATCTCTAGCAAAGTGACCAAACTTCTTACAACAGTAACATTGGATCTTCTTCTTGTCATACTTCTCTTTTCCCTTCTGAGCATTCTTTTGTCTATCAGAGGTTGAGCTTTCTGACTTCTGACCACCATCAGATCTTCTCCTGGCTTCTGACTGCTTCTGATACCTCCTATCAGAAGTTGCTTTCAGAGCCTGCTGCTCTACTTCCCTTTCAGAAGTTCTCTCAGTCAAACGCAACTCTTGCGCTTCTAAACTGCTCTGCAGCTCTTCAATTCTCATGGTACTCAGATCTTTGGAATGTTCTATTGCTACCACAATGTAATCAAATTGAGAGGTAAGGGATCTCAATACCTTCTCCATGATTGTTTCTTCAGAAAGAGTTTCTCCATACGCCTTCATCTCATTAGTGATCAGAATCACTCTGGAGATATATTCAGAAACTTTCTCATTATTCTTCATGTTGAGATTCTCATAATGCTTTCTCAAGGACTGAAGCTTCACCTTCTTCACTGATGCGTCACCACCATAACATCTAACCAGTGTGTCCCACGCAGCCTTTGCTGTCGTTGAATCTGCAATCTTCTCAAACACATTTACATCAACACATTGATGAATAAAGAATAATGCTTTCTGATCCTTCTTCCTTACTTCCTTCTGCGCGTTTTTCTGTTCATCCGTTGCATCTGCTGCTACCGGAACATAACCATCAGTGACAAGATCTAAAACATCTTGAGCACCAAACAGTACACGCATTTGGATCATCCAACGATTCCAGTTTTTACCGTCAAATACTGGAAGCTTGGTGTTCATGTTGCCGTTTCCGTTCATCTTCACCTTGCACAATACACCCAGATTTCTCACACAGTGTTTTCCAACCCACAGAATAAAATTCTGATCAGATTTTGTTCAAGATTCAACACGAATCTAAGAATCAAAATCAAACACACAAGACCTCACGTTCACTCGTGTTTCCCAATGAATCTGAACCGGAGCTCTAGATACCAATTGTTGGTGCAAAGGTAGAATAAATGATGAAAAAGAGAAATATTCTATTAAGAATGACGGCTACACACCATGATAAAAGTTACAATAATTGTCACCTTATTTATAAGTTAAAACTAGAGTTACTAGAATAAGATAAAATACTAAAATACCCTCTAACAAACTTAGAGGCTAAGGAAAATAGTACAACTAAATAAATATGAATTACTATTAATATGCATAATGTTTTACATATGCATGTCTTGCATGCTAGAGTTAAGACCTGATGGATGATACACTAGACTCTATTTATAATATAAAGTGTGAGCTGTAGTGGGTTCTATACATTGCTGTTCAATATTCCTTTCAAATTTAATGGATGTGGTCCACCTCTCAAATTAAATCTCCTATTTTATCAGTATACGTCAAGGTCAAAGTTTATTGTCACTACTTTTTCATCATGGGAGGTGTCAAATAAATGTGGAATTAGATTGATGCAGAAACCTACTCTTCTTTGAGATACCAAATATAGCTAATATGTATGAATATGTAAATTTCAAAATTTGAAATGCTTATCGAATGGTGGTGCCACCTCTAAAATATAGCTACTGTAAAATAAAACAACAATTTACTTACTATCTTCTGTGAAAAATTAATTAAAAAAAAAAACTTCATTGGATTTTTTCGCTGTTGCCCGAATCTACGTTGAAAGTATCTATTGGTTTGAAGTTTTTCAGCCACTAACAACAAAACAATGACTGACCTGGCAAGAAGAGCATGAGAGGAGAATTCTCCAACTGCGAACCGCACTCTAACGGCGAAAACCACCGCGGAGGTCCACCATCTTCTTCTATCAACTCTTTCGCTTGCTCCAAATATTCCTTCCAACCGCTCTGTCTCTGCTTCCTCTTCTCCGTAGCCGGAGCTCGAATATGGACTGACATAGCGAAGCACGCGGGGGCTATGCTCCGAAATCCGTAGGACTTGAGTTTCATGGCCTGAGACGGTTGCTTGCGGCGGAAGATCGGGGAGAAACAAGCTCCAGCGGCAATCATGGCTGTGGGTTAGTCGGTAGAGGTTGCAGGAGATTTGAATTAGTTATTGCTATCTACTAACTACTACTAACTACTACTACAACATAATTATAGGGAATTGTTTCGTGGAAATTAGGGCTGGCAATGAACCGAACCAACTCAAAAATAGTTCGAAATTCGATTCGACAATTAGATCGTTGAACTAGGTTCATGAACCTAATGAGTTGAGTATGAGCGAAAAATTAAGTTCGTTAACTAAATGAGCTGAACTTGAACTCTACATAGTTCGACTCGTTAGTTTCATGAGTTAACTCGATTACATATGAGAATAATTATACTGTCTTTAAGATTAGGTTTAAATATTTAATCTAAATCTTAGACAAATTTAATCTTCAACTTAGTAGTTTTTGAATTAGACTCTCAAATGTATCTCTTGAAAGTTGTGTAAGTTTTGAATTAGTAGATTTCGAAGATAAAGTTAAATTTCAATATGATAATTTTTATTTTATTTTAATATTTTATTTTAAAAAAAATATATTTATTTAAAATGTCAAATATACTAAAATATATATATATTAAAAAAAATAGTTTTTAAGCCCGTGAATCATGTGAGCTGATCCTAATGAGTTGAACCAAACTGTTCGTGAACTTATAACAAGTCGAGTTTGAACTTAAAAAAAAGTTCGTGTTGAACTCGAACTCGAACTCGAACTCGAAACAATTCATAACGAGTCGAGTTTGAGCTTAAAAAAAAGTTCGTGTTGAACTCGAACTCGAACTCGAACTCGAAAAATTCTTAATGAGTCGAGCCGAGCTGAGGTGAGTTCGACTCGACTCGACTCATTTCCAGCCCTAGTGGAAATATTTATTTTGAGAGAAAGAGAAATACAAATGAATATAAAATAAAGTGTTATAAAATGTGGAAAACCTATATGGTGTCTAATTATAATTTTTTAATAATAAATCTTTTTTTTAAGTGAATTGGTTCTTTTGAATATTTCATATTATTTTAAAAATGTATAAATGTAAAACTTAAAATACTATCTTTATTTAATTAATTGACTCTACACTAAAATTTTAAATTTTCTGCAAAAATATTTCTCCATAAGGCTTTGTTTTGGAGTGTGTAAGGGAGGGAAAGCTTTAGAAAACAATTTTTTTTAAAAATATAAAAAAATATTTGACATATTTTTAAAAGAATAATTTTATATAGAATAATAAAAGAATATTAATCATTATTATATTTTTAATTTTCATAATATTATAATAAGATAAAATTTAATACAAACTTTGAGTTACTCAAAATGAGAAATTTTGTTGTTATGAATAAAAAAAATCCTCAAAAATTTTCCCAACCAAAATTCTTTAATTCTTTAATTTTCATAATATTATAACAAGTTAAAATTCAATACAAACTTTGAGTCACTTAAATTAGGGAAATTTTGTTGTTATGAATAAAAACCAATCATTTTCTTTTTTTCTAAAGTTCTCCCCTCCCTTCCTCTTCAAACTCTCAGACCCTAAAATTTTGTTTTAGAGTTTGAGGAAAAAAAAGAGGAGAACTTTAAAAAATAGAAATGGTTGGATGAAAAGAATTGAAAGTTTTTTTGTTCAAAAAATTTTAGAGGATTTGTTTTTCTTCGTAATATCAAAAAAAAATTAATTTGGAGAACTCAAAATTTATATTGGAGGAGGATTTTGAAGGACTTAGACAAATTGGTAGAATAAATTTTTTTATTATTATATTATTTCAAAAATTAAAAATACATTAATGATAAATATTATTTTATCATTTTAAACAAAATCTTTTTTTTTCAAAAATGTTAAAATTTTCTCTATACTATTTTAAAATTTCATTTCTCTATACTATGTTAAAAATTCATTTCTCGAAGCTTTCACCTCTAACCTCCCAAACAAAGCCTAAGGCTTTTTCTATTTTGTTAATATCAAGAAAAAAAGGCATGTTGCGGCGGTTTAAACAGACACAATAGTGGTTTCGTGATTGCTGTAGTTCTGACACAAAAGCTAAAGCTCGTGTGGCTTGCAACAGTTGAAAAAACCATCACTCTAACTGTTGTTATTAATTGCGACGAATAGTGAACCGTCTTAAATAGTTCTTTGATTCAAATGGTCGTGAATTTTAATTGAAGTTCCATTTTCAATGTTGATTGTGAGATTTTTAACAATCGTGAGTGAGAAATTGTGACAGTTCAAACCGTCGCAATTTTTTTACAATTTCTTAATATAATTTAAGGTTAATAACATTATACCCTCGTGCCATATAGGTGAATTCTAGTTTCCCCTATATAATTTTATTTTTTTGTAAAACTAACATTATCTATATAGCAAGGTTTTAAAGTGATACTAATTATTTAATTTTATACTTTTAGTAACAGTTTAAACTATTACTAATTAAAACCTCAAATTTTTATTTGTACTTATTTTTTTTCTTTAGTAATAACTCTTTTTTTTAAATTATTATTTTTGTATCTTTTACTCTTTAAATTTTTATTTTTATTTTGGTAATATTTCTTTAACTTTGTATTTTATTTTCTATATTTTTTAACATAATAAATTTAAATCACAAAATTCTAATATCAAATAAGCATAATAAAGTAAAAAAAGTGTGACTTCCATAATCATAATGTCATATGATACAATAAATCAAAAATATATCAAATTCTAATCTTAAAATAATAAGCATCACAATGGTAAAAAAAAAGTGCAAGATTCATATTCACAACGTCATATAACACATAGAAAAGTTCATAATCTAATTAATTCGTAGCAAAATCTAATTAGTCTATCTTGGTAATACATTATTTTCAATTCGGTAGTTAGACTCAGAAGAACGTCTACAATCGACAAGTGATTTTAAGTATGATCTCTAAAAGAAATTATTAAAATAAATATACTCTTTAAAATAATACTCATTTTCTTTAACATTGTAAGCATGATTTATGTTATGTAAAAATTCACATAAGATTATATACATAAAAAATATATCTGTTTTCCACTAGTATTTTACATTTACATTAAGAGTGCAATGTTCTCTTTTCTAACACCGTCTTTATTTTAAGAGTGCGATTTCCTTCATAAATTCATCAATTTTTAAATTTTCTTTTTTAAGTGCAGCAATTTTTTCTTATATTTCTTTTATTCTTTCATTTGCTTCTAAAGAAGACACAATCTAATATATCTATTAATTTTAGATGACGTTACTCTGTATCATAAAACGAATATATTCAAGTTGTTCTTTTTCAAACACTTTCTTAAATGCCTCATTTTTCAGACAAAGAGTTCTGAATTGCAGTTTGTAATTTTTCCTATACATGAAAAAAAAAAAAAAAACAAATAGTACACAACATAAATCTTCACTTACAATATGAATGCAAACATGTCAAAGCTAAATCATAAATAGAATGTAACTGTAACAGAGTTTAAAAACCTGGAATAGCAAGCACTGCATGTGACTTTAGAAAAAAGAAAAAGAAAAACTAAATGAGTCACCATGAATAGCCTACTGTTTTTTTAATTAATTGCAAGGGGGATTAATGGTTAACCTAGTAATTAATTAAGAATAATCTTTACTTTGACAACTAATATACAAACTAACACAAACAAAATTATGGAACACTTGCGCCACCATTCTACAAACTGGTCCAAAGAATGAAAGGAACCGAACATAACAATTAGGGAGGAAAGTGATAAAGTAGTATAAACTTAAGGAATGTAATTATATATAAACAATAGTAGTACAGTTAAAGGAAAAATAACAAACAATAAAAACAGGCACAACAAAACAAGTTGAATAAGCGAATTTCGGTTCAACATATGTGAAGAAAAAAAACAATTTTTAGTTACATCCTACGGAACTATTGCTCTCAATTCAGTTCAGTTCTCTAATTCACATATCATTTAAAGAATTCAAAATATACACATTAATGACAAAATCGCTTTGAGAATTGTATTTTTCTTCAATTTATGTCTAAAGAGGATTCATCAGTTTTAATTAGTCACACTTAGTTTTGTATTGTGCAGATCAGCTGCTTTATCTTTCCTTATTATTTATATTATTATGCATACAATTAAAAATAGATACATTTAGTCATATCAACTCATCTCACTTTCTTGCAAGTGATTTAGATCTGAGTATATGTGAAATTTTTAATTTTTAATTTTTAATTTTTAGCATTTTGTCTTGCCATTCTCTACATTGGTAACAAATTAAAACACGCTTTAAAATATTTAATAAATACTCGTTTATATATTAAAAATAAACTTATATGATTAAAACACTAATATTACATGTGTATTTTCTTTCCATCTATATTAAACAAAACACCATAATCGTATTTGCCAACAATACCTTTTGAAAATTTTGCAAGATTTTTCTTCAATGTGAAATCCCATTTATAAATATTTTTATACAACTGATGTCAGTCATCCCTCCATTTCATTTCAACTGAAGAAAGTATTTTTTTTTCTTGTTATTCCCATCATCAACAACAAAATGGAGCTAACTATAAAAATAAAAACTAGTTGACGAAATAAATAATATTGACCATGAAATTAATTTAAAAAATATGCAGTTGTTTATTGATGATACATTTATCTTTGCATCATAAAACTTTGTTTTTTATCCATTGTAACTGCCTTCTAACTCTTAACATTATGGAAAAGTCTTGAAACATTCTAGCAACTCTACCCAAATACCCTGCTAACAAACGAGCAATTGATCCTAATGCGAAACCATATGAATCCCATTCAATTATTATCGATGCTCCACCAGAAGTTGTTTTCAGAACCATGTCTTGCAAACAGAAACATGTCTTTGAAATATGACCTACCTCATCTATCACATAAAAAAGTAAACAAAATAATGTCGTAACTCAACTATGTAAAACATTAAAATCATTTAAAGATACTTTAACATTAAATTAATTACTAATAACATTTACATCCCAATATTCTGAACTACCCACTTGAAAAACATCATTAGTCTCATCTTCTACCATAAC